TTGAACGAATAGTGAACATTAGACACATTCTTTACCAGAGCACCGAAAACGACAAACGCACGGTACGAGGCCTTGAACAAGCGGGTTAAAGAACCCTCTCCCAAGGAAAATCATTGGATGAGTTTCTCTTGGTTTTTTTAATGCTTTTTAACGGCTTCAACTTGAACGGAAGCCCGAAACCGCCGGAGATGTAACTATGCTTGTATTTGAAGTCAACAAACTGAAGAACCAGGCATTAAGTAATCACACAGGGTAAACGTTTTTCAGTGCTTTCAAATATTCACTTTACAATTGCTCAGTGGACTGTTTTTGAGCTGATAACACTTGGGGATTTCACCAGAATTCCTTTTTGGGCTCTACGGAGATAAAGAAGATAAAATAGATGGTGATGACACCGTGAACGTAGATTGCAGATCGAAACGGGATCACGGGTGCGTATGGACATTGCCAGCCCACATTCGTTTGGGAATGTTCAACTATTCTCAATGACTGAATAGCTGAAAATATAATCAGATAGCCATGAAACTTGCGAGTCATAGAAACAAAATCCTCGACTTCCGGCGTTGCAGTTTCCGAAGGTCTCATGGGTCGTCCCCTCTCCCCTCTGGCTAACACCAGGCGGTGGTCAACAGGCGACAAGAGCAATGGTACATCTGAAAAGGTGCTTTTAGATGCGTTAGGACATCAATCAGTGCGTTTAGAGGGCAGTCCAGGAGAACTACTTCACCTACGCGATTGTTAGATTGTCAGTAAAAGCGAATTATGCGTTTACAGCACTGCGAAATGTTAGGAATCTGGTGTGGGAGCTGGAAAAGCAGAGACAAAATTTTCACATTTTTGATGTTGTGAACTTTCCGCTGATGCTCAGAGGTCAATTTCAAAATAATAGAGGTGACATGTACATCACGGTCTAGTCTGTATGCGATACAAATGTATTTTGAATTTTTTTGGGAGGATTGCTTCGCAACGGCCGTTCTCGCGCGCCCGGTGCCCGCCAACTGGTGTTATCTGCGGCGACCGACGCTGCTTGGTGTACATAACAGTTCTTACATCCGATATTGCTGCTCTGTATATCTCAATTTCTATCATTCGGCACCATATTTATATGCAATGTGCCACCTGTTTGAGCCACCTGTTTGATGATGA